GGAATGAAATCTTGCCATTTGCAATGACATGGATGGAACTGGAGGGTATTATGCTGAGTGAAATAAGTCAATCAGAGAAATACATGTATCATATGACCTCACTGATATGAGGAATTCTTAATCTCAGGAAACAAACTGAGGGTTGCTGGAGTGGTGGGGGGTGGGAGGGATGGGGTGGCTGGCTGACAGACATTGAGGAGGGTATGTGCTATGGTGAACACTGTGAATTGTGTAAGACTGTTGAATCGCAGACCTGTACCTATGAAACAAATAATACATTATATGCTAAAAAAAGAAAAAGAAGAAGATAGCAGGGAGGGAAGAATAAAGGGGGGCAGGAATTGAGGGGGAGATGTACCATGAGAGACTACAGGCTCTGAGAAACAAACTGAGGGTTCTAGAGGGGAGGAGGTTGGGGGGATGGGTTAGCCCAGTGATGGGTATTAAAGAGGGCACATACTGCATGGAACCCTGGGTATTACATGCAAACAATGAATCATGGAACACTACATCAAAAACTAATGATGTAATGTGCGGTGATTAACATAACATAATAATAAAAATAAATAATAAATAAAACCCTTAGAATTTCCAAAGTGAAAAAAAAAAGCCAGAATAGTAATACTTATATCAGACAAACTATATGTTAAAACCAAAAATGTAAGGAGACACAAAAAAGGACACGACAAATAATAAAGGTGACAATCCAACAAGAAGCTATAATAACTGTAAATATTTATGAACCTAATATGGGACCACCAAAATACATAAAATAGTTAATAACAAACATAAATGAAGTTATTGATAATAATACAATAATAGCAGGGGACTTAAACACCCTACTTACATCAATGGACATATCATCTAAACAGAAAACCAACAACAAAGAAACACTGGCTTTGAATAACACATTGGAACAGATGGATTTAACACATATATTCATAAGATTCCATCCCAAAACAGCAGAATACATATTCTTTTCAAGTGCACACTGAACAACCTACAGAATAGATCACGTATTAGCTCTCAAAACAAGCCACAACAAATTCAAGAAGATTGAAGTCATACCATGCATCTTTTCTGACCGCAACACTATGAAACTAGAAGTCAACCACAAGAAAAATCTGGAAAGACTAAATATATGCAGGTTAAATAACATGCAACTAGTCCATGAATGGCTCAACCAGGAAATAAAAGAAGAAATAAAAAATTACATAGAAATAAATGAAAATGAAAACACAATGGTCCATGGGCACCTGGGTGGCTCAGTTGGTTAAGTGACTGCCTTCGGCTCAGGTCATGATCCTGGAGTCCCTGGATCGAGTCCCGCATCGGGCTCCCCGCTCAGCGGGGAGTCTGCTTCTCCCTCTGACCCTCCCCCCTCTCCTGTGCTCTCTCTCTCTCATTCTCTCTGTCTCAAATAAATAAATAAAATCTTTAAAAAAAAAAAAAGAAAACACAATGGTCCAAAACCTCAGGGATGCAGCAGAAGCTGTTCTAACACGGAAGTTTAGAGCAATACAGGCGTACCTCAAAAAGCAAGAAAACTCTCAAATAAACAACCTGATCTTCCATCTAAAGGAGCTAGAGAAAAACAACAAACAAAACTTTAAACCAGCAGAAGTAAAGAATAAAGATTAGAGCAGAAATAAATGATATAGAAACTGGAAAAAAAAATAGAACAGACCAGTGAAAGCAAGGGCTGGCTCTATGAAAAAAATTAATAAAACTGATAAACCTCTACTGAGACTTATCAAGAAAAAAGAAAAAGGGCTCAAATAAATAAAATCACAAATTAGCAAAGAGAAATAACAACCAACACCACATGTAGAAACAATCATAAGAGAACATTATGAAAAACTGGCATATGCCAGAAATTGGGCAACCTAGAAGAAATGGATAAATTCCTACAAATAGATAAACTACCAAAACCGAAACAGAAGGGAATAGAAAATTTGAACAGATAACCAGCAAAGAATTGGAGTCAGTAATCAAAAAACTCCCAACAAACAAAAGTCTGGGTCAGATGGCTTCACAAGTGAATGCTACCAAACATTTAAGGAAGAGTTACACTTATTCTTCTCAAAACTTTTCCAAAAAATAGAGAAGAAAGGAAAACTTGCAAATTTAGTCTGACAGAAGCATTACCCTGATACCAAACTCAGATAAAGACACCACTAGAAAGAGAACTATAGACCAATATCTCTGATGAACATACACATAAAAATCAATGTTTAAAAGGAAAAGCAGGGGTGCCTGGATGGCTCAGTTGGTTAAGCGTGAGACTCTTGATTTCACCTCAAGTTATGATCTCAGGGTTGTGAGATTAAGCCTCATACTGGGCTCCATGCTCAGCAGGTAGTCTGCTTCTCTTCCTCTCTCCCTCTCCCTGTGCCCCTCCCTCCACTCACACTCACACTCTCTCTCTAAAACAAATAAATACATAAATCTTTAAAAAGTAAAAATAAAAGGAAAAGCAAGCCGGAGGCATCACAAATCTAGACATCAGGTTATACGACTAAGCTGCATTAATCAAAACACTATGGTACTGGCAAACATATAAATCAATGAAAGATAATAGAAAATCCAGAAGTAAACCCACAACTTTAGTATCAATTAATCTTCAACAAAGCAGGAAACAATATCCAATGGTAAAGGACAGTCTATTCAAAAAATGATGCTGGAAAAACTGGACAGCAACATGCAAAAGAATGAAATTCCACCACTTTCTTACACCATACACAAAAAAAATTCAAAATGGATTAAAGATCTAAATGTAAGACCTAAAACTGCAAAAATCCTAGAAGAGAAGACAAGCAGTAACTTCTTGACATCAGCACTAGCAACTTCTTTCTAGTTATATCTCCTGAAGAAAGGGAAACAAAAGCAAAAATGATCTACTGGGACTACAACAAAATAAAAAGCTTCTACACAGCAAAGGAAACAACAAAATTAAAAGGCAACCTATGGGGGCACCTGGGTGGATCAGTTGGTTAAGCGTCTGCCTTCGGCTCAGGTCATGATCTGGGGTCATGGGATCGAGCCCCGCTTCGGGCTCCCTGCTCAGTGGGGAGCCTGCTTCTCCCTCTGCCTCTGCCCCTCCCCCTGCTTGTGCTCTCTCTCTGTCAACATAAATAAATAAAATCTTTAAAAAAATAAAATAAAATAAAAGGCAATCTATGGAATGGAAGAAGATATTTGCAAATTACATATCTGATAAAGGGCTAGTATACAAAATATATAAAGAATTTATAAAACTTGGGGTGCCTGTGTGGCTCAGTCATTAAGCGTCTGCCCTCAGCTCAGGTCAGGATTCCAGCGTTCTGGGATCGAGCCCTGCATTGGGCTCCCTGCTCAGCGGGGAGGCTGCTTCTCCCATTCCCCCTGCTTATGTTCCCTCTCTCACTGTGTCTCTCTGTCAAATAAATAAATAAAATCTGTTACAGAAAAAAGAATTTATAAAACTCAACACAACAAAAACAAATAATCCAATTACAAAGTTGTCAGAAGACACAGACATTTCTCCAAAGAAGACATTAAGATGGCCAACAGACACATGAAAAGATACTCATCATCACAGAAATGCAAATCAAAACTACAATGAGCTATCACCTCATGCTTGCTGGAATGGCTAAAATCAACAACACAAGAAAAAACAGTTCTTGACAAGGATGTGGAAAAAAAGGAACCCAATGCACTATTGCTTGGAATACAAACTGGTGTAACCACTGTGGAAAACAATATGGAGGTTCCTCAAACAGTTCAAAATAGAACTACCCCATGATCCAGCCATCATACTACTGGGTATTTACAGAAAGAATACATAAACACTAATTCAAAGGGATATATATGCCCCTATGTTAATAGCAGCACTATTTACAATGACTAAGATATGGAAGCAACTCAAGTGTCCATCGATTGATGAATGGATAAAGAAGATGTGGTACACACACACACACACACACACACACACACACACACACACAATGGAATATCATTCAGCCATAAAAAAGAATGAAATCTTGTCATTTGCAACAAAATAGATGGCGCCCAATAGTGTAATGCTAAATGCAATGTCAGTGAAAGACAAGTAACAAAACATTTTACTTATATGTGGTATTTAAGAAACAAATGAAAAATTGAAAAAAGAGAGACAAGCAAGAAACAGACTATAGAGAACAAACTGATGTTTACCACAGGAGCGGTATATGGGGGAATGGGTGAAATAGATGATACGGATTAGAGTACCCTTATCATGATGAGCACTAAGTAATGTACACAACTGCATATTGTACACCTGAAACTAATTTAACACTGTATGTTAACTATACTGGAATTAAAATTAAAAACAATAAAATTAATATATATGTGTACGTGTGTGTGTGCACGTGTGTGTGTTCAGCAAAAGAAAAAGGAAGAATAGGAAATTATATATGTAGGTTTAAGCATCCATCCAAAATGTACATCACATTGGTTAGAAATATCAGCTTTAAAGTCTGAACGGGATTCAGATCTGACTATCACTTGCTAATTCAATGACTGTAGGCAAATTACTTTACCTCTCTAATCTTCAGCACCTTCATTTGTAAAGATGAATATACTAACATCTATCATACAGGGATACTGAAGGATTAAATGACAAAACAAATGCATAACATTTGGGGTGTCTAACACAAAAGAATACAATAAATTTGCTACTATTACTAGTACTGTTATAACCTTAATAATGTAAAATACTACACATACATACAGGGAAAAAAAGATGAAAACTAAAATATTAATAGGAACTATCTCTGAGAGGTGGTAAAAAGTGATTTTTATTTTCTTCCTGGTATTTGGCCTATATTTTCTAGTACATAATATTTTTATCAGAAAAAATTTTAATGAAGAGACATTAGCATTTCACAATCCTCTATACTCATGTCTGAAGCAACATGGCCCCGACCTGTCAACACAGACCTCTACACACACTCTTAACCAAATAATATTTACACACTGACCTGAAGGACAGTAAGTTGGAATTTAGTCCCCTTCTCTGGTCGAGGACAGGAAGCTCTTCTTTGTTTGATCCGATCTTGTTTGCCATTTCCACAGGGGTTATCAGGGGTATTGATGTTTTCCTTCACAGCTGCCACATCCGGATTCAAACTAGTTATTAGAAAAAAAACAAAAGCAAGTCCTATTCAATTTCTCAGAGAAAACATTATTCCATGATTCTCAAAGCCCAGTATTTAACCCAAATGAGAATTAACATCTGAAATTCTATGATGTCTAGAATAATTCCATTCTGATGGTAAGCTTCTAGAAAAACTCCAACTATAAAATAATACATAATAAGTTTAAGGAAAATAAATAAGAAATATAATGTCTGAGAATATACAAAAAGCAAATTGTACACTTTAAATTGGTTAATTTAATGGTATGTGAATTATATATCAATAAAGATATTTTTCAAAGTTATGAAAAACTGAGATAATATGTATTTATTGGCAATCACCTGACAGTAGTGGGAATGAAAGAAAAACACTGTCATTGATGGACCTCTGTGGAACCTTTTATTGGAAGATGCTCTTGATCAATTTTATCTTGTTTGTTTTGGGGTATATTATTAATGTGTTCAAATAAAACTCTAATAAACAATTTTCACTCAAAATATACCTGTTTATGGGTTGGACTCAAAAGGGCATAGACAAACCAAGTGGGGGAGACAGGAACAGGGTAGGAGAAAGAACAAAAAATGAAAATGAGATTTAAAAATATGTGGTAGTGGTTTGTTAGAAGGTGGTGGTGGAGTAGGAGGACCCTACACTTGCCTGTCCCATGAATACAACCAGATAACTATCAAATCATCCAAAATACACCAGAAATGGACCTGAAGACTGGAAGAACAACTACACAACTAAAGGTAGAGAAGAAGCCACACTTAAGAAGATAGAAAGTGTGGAGGCATGATTGGGAGAGAATCAGATCGTAGCCCCTGGGGTGGGAAGGAAGCAGTAGTCACAGAAAAGGGTTAGACAGACTAACACACAGGGGAATGCATGGGAAAACAAATCCGCATAACAATTGGCTTGGAAAGCAAGAGGGACCAAATTTCATGACTTTCGGCCACCAGCAGGGCATAAACCCTGGAGTTTTAAAGGTCACTGGACTTGGCTGGGATACAGCCCAGAAGGCATTGTACTACTCTTGCAGAGCAGGCAGGCAAACAACCTATGAGTATACAGTGTGGCAACAGTGATATGAAGAGCACCTGGAGTACACAGTGGGGAGGTTATTTGTTCATTTTAGACCACATCCCAGAGAGGCAGGTTCACAGAGAGAAACCTCCAGGAAGAAAAGAACTAGGCAGTGCCATTTCCTTCCCCTGACCCTAAGTGTAAGCACAGGGCCACCACAGGAACCAGCACAATTCTGACAATCCCGACCTGACATGCTTATACCAAGCCCCACATTCTAGTGGAACCCCCACATTCTAGTGAAACCCCTAGTCCCAGTCTCCACTGCCTCAATCCCATCTTGGAGGGTCCCTCCCCCAGAAGACTGGCCCCAAACTCTGCTCACAAAATGCTTCCTGACTCAGGAGTTTTGCAGAGCCTCAGTTATAGTGGCAGTGAGATCAGGTCTCATTTCACAAACAGACCAGAGCACACCTAGTTAAAACATGCCACATTCAGGCAAGGAACCAAACACTGCCCACAACACACAAAGAGAGCCTCTGCAAACAACTGGCCTGAAGGATAAAGTGGCTAGGACAAAATAAGAGCATACACAGCACACACTGGAGACAACTCCTATAAGCACCAGGCCCTGGGGAACAAGGTACACTACTGGGCAAGGCACTACAGGATCTCTTCATCATAAGGCCATTACCCTCATGAATAGAAGATGTAGTTGACTTTCCTAAAACAGAGAAACAGGCACAGAAATGGAGGTAAAATGAGAAGACAGAGATTTATCCCAAATGAAAGAAGAGGACAAAGCCACAGCCAGAAACCTAAGTAAAACAGAAATACGTAACATGTCTGATAGAGAATTTAAAGTAATGATCACGAACATACTCACTGGACTTGAGAAAAGAATGGAGGACATCAGTGAGACCCTTAACACAGAGATAAGGAATAACATAGCAGCAATAAAAGGCTCAGTAAATGAAATGAGAAGCACACTTGATGGAATGAGGAGCAGAATAAAGAAGTAGAGGAACAAATTAGTGACCCAGAAGACAGAATAATGGCAAGTCATCAAGTTGAGCAAGAGAGAAAAAAGAATTATGAGAAATGAAAATAGACTTAGGAAACACAGTGACTCCACCAAATGTAATAACATTCATATTACAGGAGTCCTAGAAGAAGAGAGAGAAAAGGGGATAGAAAATTTATTAGAAGAAATAATAGCTGAAAACTTCCCTAATCTGGGGAAGGTAACAGATATCCAGATCCAGGAGGCATGAGAACACCAACAAAATCAACTAAAAGAGATCCATACCAAGATATATTCTAATTAAACTGGCAAAAAAAACAGTGATAAAGAAAAAAATTTAAGGGGCACCTGGGTGGCTCATTGGTTAAGCATCTGCCTTCAGCTCAAGTCATGATCCTGGGGTACTGGGATTGAGCCCCTGCTCCCGGGAGCAGGGAGCCTGTTTTTCCATCTCCCTCTGCAATCCCCCTGCTTCTGCTCCCTTTCCCTCCCTCTCTCTCTATATATAAAATAAATAAAATATTTAAAAAAATTTTTAAAGCAGCAAGGCAAAAGAAGATAGTAACATAGAAGAGAAACTCCATAAGGATAAGCAGGGGATTTTTCAGCAGAAGCTTTGCAAGCCAGAGGGGAGTGGCATGATAGGTTCAAAGCGCTTAATGAGAAAAATGTGCAGCCAAGAATACTCTATCCATCAAGGCTACCATTCAGAACAGAAGGAGAGATAAAGAGTTTCCTGGACAAATAAAAACTAAAGGAGTTAATGACCACTAAATCAGCTCTATAAAAAATATTAAAGGGGACTCCCTGAGTGGAAAGGGGAGACCCAAAATGAAAGTATAAAGGTAGGAAACTAAAGCAGTAGAAATTAGTATTTCTGTAAAAATTCAGTCAAGGTATTCACAAAATAAATGGAAAACATGTAAAATATGTAAATATGTGAAATACGACAAAATATTCCTAAAATGTGGGGAGAAGAGTAAAGAATGGGTCTAAACTTAAACAATCATCAAAATAATATAGACTGCTACATGCAGAAGATGTCATACACAAACCTAACAGTAACCATATAACAAAAACCACTAATAAATATGTAAATATCAAAGAGAAAAAAATCCCAATATATCAGTAAGGAAAATCACCAAATGATGAAAGAGATAAAAATACAGGATCAGAAAAAAATCTTCAGAAACAACCATGAAACAAAGAATAAAATGACAATATATTTTCAATAATTACTTTGAAGGTAAATGGACTAAATGCTCCAATCAAAAGTCATAGGGGGACAGAATGGGTAAAAAAATAAGACCCACCTATATGCAGCCTACAAGAGACTCACTTTAGACCTAAAGACACTAACAGATTGAAAATGAGGGAGTGGAGAAACATCTATCATGAAAATGTATGTCAACAGAAAGATGGAGGAGCAATACTTATATCAGAGAAAACAGACTTTAAAACAAAGACTAACAAGAGAAAAAGGAGGGCAATATATAATCATAAAGGGGATACCCAACCAGAAGATACAACAATTTTAAATATCTAGGCACCCAATGAATGAGCAAAAAAAGAAAGAGTTAATAACAAATATAAATAATCAATAACCATACAATAGTTAGGTACTTTAACACCCAAATTACATCAATGAGCTGATCATCTAAACAGAACACCGGGGCACCTGGGTGGCTCAGGCAGTTAAGCATCTGCATCTCAGCTCATGATCTCATGGTCCTGGGATACAGCCCCACGTAGGGCTCCCTGCTCAGTGGGGAGTCTGCCTCTCCCTCTCCCTCTGCCCCTCCCCACTGCTCATGCTCTCTCTCTCTCTCTCTCTCACTCTCAATCTCTCAAATAAATAAAATCTTTTTTAAAAAACGAACATCAACAAGGGAACAATGGCTCTGAATGACACTGGAAAAGATGGATTTAACATATATATTCAGAACATTCCATCCTAAAACAAGAGAATACACATTCTTTTCAAGTGCACACTGAACAACCTACAGAATAGATCACGTATTAGCTCTCAAAACACGCCACAACAAATTCAAGAAGATTGAAGTCATACCATGCATCTTTTCTGACCACAACACTATGAAACTAGAAGTCAACCACAAGAAAAATCTGGAAAGACTAAATATATGCAGGTTAAATAACATGCAACTAGTCCATGAATGGCTCAACCAGGAAATAAAAGAAGAAATAAAAAATTACATAGAAATAAATGAAAATGAAAACACAATGGTCCAAAACCTCTGGGATGCAGCAGAAGCTATTCTAACACGGAAGTTTATAGCAATACAGGTGTACCTCAAAAAGCAAGAAAACTCTCAAATAAACAACCTGACCTTCCATCTAAAGGAGCTAGAAAAAAACAACAAACAAAACCTTAAACCAGCAGAAGGAAGGAAAGAATAAAGATTAGAGCAGAAATAGGGGCACCTGGGTGGCTCCGTCGTTAAGTGTCTGCCTTCGGCTGAGGTCATGATTCCAGGGTCCTGGGATCCAGCCCCACATCAGGCTCCCTGCTCGGCAGGAAGCCTGTTTCTCCCTCTCCCACTCCCCCTGCTTGTGTTCCCTCTCTCACTCTCTCTCTCTCTATCAGAAAATAAATACAATCCTAGAAACATCACCAAAGGCAAGGGAAGCAAGGGCAAAAACGGAACTATTGGGATTTCATCAAGATAAAAAGCTTTTGCACAGCAAAAGAAACAGTCCACAAAACCAAAAGACAACTGACAGAATGGGAGAAAATATTTGCAAATGATATATAAGATAAAGGGCTAGTATCCAAAATCTATAAAGAACTTATCAAACTCAACACCCAAAGAACAAATAATCCAATCAAGAAATGGGCAGAAGACATGAACAGACATTTTTCCAAAGAAGACATCCAAATGGCCAACAGACACAAGAAAATGTGCTCAACATCGTTCAGCATCAGG